TTTTTTTTTCATTATTTGTTTACTGTTTGTTGCCAACCAGTAATCTCTGTTGAATGTTATAGGTTGGCGGTGAGATGCCTGTTGGTGAGTCAGTTCTGATACGGGAACGGCCAGCGCTTCGGTTGGATTCCCGTTTGGTCTGTAAATATGAGGTTTTGTCCATAATTGGTAAAGGTTCCTTCTCACAAGTGCTACGTGTTCAACATCGCCTCACCAAACAGTATTATGCGGTCAAATTGGTCTCCTCAGATTGCGGTGCTGTAAACAACGAATTGTCCATATTGAGCCGGGTATCACATCCCTATGTCATTCGTCTTGAAGAGGTAATAGATTTATTTTATGGCTGTTGGCAACGTTGTTGTCTATAATTCTATTGATGATATTGACACTTCTTGTTCCACCTCTTCATTAACCTTGGAGTTCCAAAAAGAAAAAAATTATTTTTTTGACGACTATAAGATGCGAATTACACAGTTTTTTTTTTTTGAATAATGACTTTTTTTTAAAGTGTACTTATGATTACAATTTTTTCGTAATACAACTTTATTTCCCATCATTTTTGACTTCATATTATTCCGTTTTCCTATTACCAAAAAATTTATTGTTTACAATAAACTCTATTAAGGACAAATAACTTTTCTTTTAAATGAGTTTTTTTTCTGTTGCTGTTGATTGTTAGTAACAACAACAACAACAAAAAACACAGCTCAGAAGTCGTAGAACCCTAAATAGTATTGTATTGCACAGATTTAGCTGTACAGTCTTTTTTTTTTCCCTTTAATTTTACAATTGCGGTGTAAATCTGACATTTGATACACTGTTGTTTGTTTGCCGAATGGAGGTTTGCAAACAAAAAAAAAAAAAAAGAGATACGGAAGAAAAAGATGGTAACTGACGAACAAACTGTTTAGCTTATGAGTTTAAATGACGGTTTGTTAACCGGGATAGTCAAAATTTGCTGTGGGGAGTGAAGAAAAAAGAGGAAAAATTCTCTGAGATAGTTGTACAGAAGGTGTCAGTGATACCGACAATGACGATGAGACCATCTTTTCTAGATAGCTTCATTTTCTTTCTTATCTTGTCTTCTTGACAAACAACTGTTTGAAGTGAAAAAAGTGGCAAAAAAAAAGATGCAGACACTATTTTCGAAATTGTTCCAAAAATCTAACGTAATTTCCCGTATTGTTTTAGAATTTATTTCAAATTACATCCATCAGATATGTTTTGCGTTTCACAAAAGTACAGTTCATTTGTTTGTTGGAAAGATCACCGAATGATTTAGCGTGTAAGTGTCATCGTTAAGGGATGGCATGAAGTGGAAGATAGAGGTGTTTAAAAGAAAAAAGGAACAATGAGCAACGGCTAATCATCATTATGGGCTGTAAATGTTTTTTTCCTCATTTTTTTATTCTCTTGTTACACTGTTATGTTGTTTTGTTATGCATTAAATTCTTCTTTTGTTGAGCATTAAGTGGGAGAAAAAATTTCGAAAAAAACTACTAAAAAATGAAAAGAAAATGAATGTCGCTGTTTTTTTTTTGCCAATGAATTGAGCGGTAGTTGAAGTAGCAGGGGAGAATAGGACGAACAAGGTGGGCATTCCTGTTAACATTTTTGCCATTGAAGTTCTTTTATAGCCCATCAGTAAGGAGGCAAAGTTGAAGTTGGAAAAGAGAAAAGCTAAAAAGAGGTAAGATAAAGAGGGATCGACTAAAGAATAATGTAAAAGTAAAGAGCAATTTCGGCTTTTTTTGCGAGTCTTTTTTCTTCAATTCACTCCTCTCACTTTATGCCACTTTTTAATGGATATACTAATAACAGTTTAACTTTGAGTAAGATTTAGTTAAGAACAGGGACAAGTAAAAGTTTACCATTATTGCCTGTACCGGTGCACTAAATAAATAGTATTTAAGAAATGGAGAATAAGCAAAACTGTTATTTTTGTTTCTGTTTTTTTTTTCCTGCTGTTCTAAACATTTTGGCTTCGCTCAATCAACATTAATCATTGATGATTTTTATCATGTTGTTTTGTTTTTCTTGTTTTAATGAGGCTGGAACAGACATCAACTCATCATCACTGTCACAGTCTTCTGCATCGTTATCATAAGGCTATAATAGAAACAATGAACAAATGAAGACTTGCAAAAATTTCTTGAAAATTAAGCGGTCAAAAAAGGAAAAGGAAATGAAATTATATATTTTAAACATTCTGCTGTTACTGCAAAGAAAGACTTACAAAATAGACCAAAATATATGGAAAGTTCTGAATCAAAACATATTTTTAGATATGCATTCAGGCTTAGCAGGGTACTTGCATTTTTTATATACAGAATTTCAAAATATTTTGTTCTATTAATAATGAAACTGCTTTTTAAATATTAATACATATTTCAG